CTTGCAGTTAAGGTAAAGAAGTTCAGCATCTTTATTTCCTCTGCTTCTCCTAATGCTGAAGGACTTGCATCACTTCTAAGAAATTTTCTACCTACTGAAGCATACTGTAAGCCTGGTGCTTGAGAATTTTCCAAGTAATCCATTCTCACCTTCATATATTTCTGCTAATTTTGTTATGGGAAAAGTAGTACAAGCCAAACCAACTTCTAACTACACTATATTAGAGTTATAATATCACAAGTTTCTGATTGATCTACCTAATGGATCATAAGTCTTGCATCACTTTAATGGAGCAAAAACTGGAAAAAAAAAAAAAAAAAAAATTGCAGACAAAGGACTGAGCCAAAAAGTTATCTATAGATTATCAGCAAAGACCTGGATATGAAAGTTAAAAGAATTTTCCAGTCCAGACCAGGAGAGTGGTCTGGGAGTTCTGACCTAAACTGCGAAAGTCCTCAGCCAGGCAGCCCCGGTGATAGCACCTGACACAGCAGCACACACCTCACCAGCGTGCAGCTTGCTGCTACTAGCAGGCTGAGAGTCTGCCCAGCTATCCCTTCCCCCACTGCAAATTTCCACCTGGAATGCAGTATGTTCCAGTTCATCTAGTCCACTATTACATCTCATACATTGGCCTCTTCTAGAGGTATCAGAGGAAGGTGTAAAAATTCCCATAAATAATAATTATGGAAAAAAACCCTGCCCACAGGGAAAGGTTTTTCCTCCATAACTCGTGTCATTAGTGGTTGATTAAAGTCTTTAAGAGTGAAAGTTTATATCGCTTCTAAATGATTTTTTGCCCCATGAGGTAACTATGGCTCCAGATTATATATGAATCCTACTAATCTTTTGGCCCAAGGATAACTTCCAACAATCCGCTTCATAGATTAATTATGCATTGTATAAACAAGTACCAGATGTATCTAAGTAAAGCAAAACAAGCCACTGAAAAGAAGAAAACTGGGCTCTTCACCTCAAGTCGGTGATCCAAAATACAAAATCACAACTGCCTGCCTGTTTCCTCATTTCTAGAGTTACAAAATATTGTTTCTGAACTTAAAGGGATACCACCTAACCACTTGTAACAATTGCCAAAGACAGACGCAAACAACGTTTTAGACATCATGGGGTCTCCTTATGCTGTGTGATAACTGAGATTTGATGTTATTAAACTCTAGCTAGAATTACTCTCCCCTTATCCTACCTAAGCAATAAGATGTCTGAAGAAATCCACACACTAACCTCTTCTGGAAAATATGGCCAGCTTTTCAAGGTATAAATCTTCCTTTAGTCAAATTTGTTTCAGTCCACTGGCTTATAGTTCTCTTGTGAAAAGCAGGCAGAAGTGGGATCCAGGGCCTTCATCTAAGTTTTGTCAACTTTTGAAAACCTAGTACCCTGCCAGGCAAAAGCTGAGAGTTTCCTGAGCTCTTAGAGTAAAAGGACTGTCTGTAGAAAGAAAAGCATAAGGGACTAAGGATTTCTTATCTCCTTTCTTCTTTCCTTGCACAGCATTCTGACTCAGAGCTGGGAAAGGATACAATCTTTCTCCATGATGTAGTACTCTATTTTTTTAAGTACCAGTTGAAGGGTGAGACCTTTAACAACAGAGATATGGGCTGTTTCACTAACAAATACGAATTATTTTTTGTCCTGCACCAAAATGAAGAGGAGCCTGCATTGTCCAGAGTTGTATTTAGGGTCTTCAGCAAGAGATGAGTTGTTTTACCAATCTAGAGACACATGTTAGTAAGGAGAAAGCACATGCCATTTCCCTGTAAGTGTCATAGTTTTTAATACCTTCCCAGTCAAAAGCATAAGGAAAATAAATCTAATAAATAGAAGGTATAAGGATTGTCTGCTATGATCTTAGGAACATTTTTTATATAATCAAGTCTGGCTGGACTCCATACATAAATGCAGTGGAATCTGAATGATGGAGGTTTTAAATATTTGAAAGAGTTAAATTGTTTCCGTTCTGCTACAGTTTAATTAACATAATGTTACTCTGTAACAGAGATGAGTCTTACACATACTACTCCCTTAAACCAGATAGCAGTAACTGCTGCACCAGTGTTTGCTGGCAAAGGAAACACTGAACTGCCCCCACCAACCAACAGGGATAGGGTATTAGTTCATTGGTCTGCCTTTCTGTTTGCAAGGGGAACCATATCTTGTTACAACAAGGCACAAGTTAATTTAAGCAGTCACAATAACACAGTTGCTGCACCACATCAGACAACTGAAAAGTATTCTGCTGTTTGTTCAAAAGGCCAGAAGTAGAATAGATTTCATGGTTATTCTGTTTCTGGCAAATTTCTACCTGTGTCACAACTATAATTTTTACCACATCAGACTTCTCTGTCATAACCAAAGTATTATTACTAATAAATGGGAATAGGACATGGATTATAGGTTGGGGAAACTTCTGTTTACAAAACATGTGCATTCAGAGTTCTCAATATAAGAAAAAAAATAGCCACATCTACATGAAAAGCAAATCAACAGATTTAATCATATGTTTCCAAATGTGAACTTGGCATGAAGATTTAAAAAAAAAAAAAAAAAAAAAAAAAAAAAAAAAAAAAAAAGTTATAACTTCTTATACCACAATTCAGAGTACATAAAACAACCTCTGCATTATTGTTGGAACTGAACCTCCCACAGTGCTTAACTTTCAGTGACCTTGTCCTATGAACATCTCTTTAATATGATGCATGCTAAAAATAATACAATTATAGTAGCAAAGATGTACCTAAAATAAGAGAAGCAGTTAAGAGACATTCCTTAAGCCCTCTCTCAGATGACACAAACTGCTGTGGGAGCCTGTAAGTCCACCTGGTCAGCCAACATCAATTAAGAAGGAAAAACAACTTTAAAAAGAAACCCTTTGAATTCATGATCCAAAATAAAATTTTAGATACCAAAGAGAATTTAAGAGTGTGACAAAGTCTTATCATACCAGAAAATAATGACATAATAGTTAGTACCTCCTGGAATATAATAAAAAGTCATGAAAAGGGCTATCATTGATACAAGGGATGAGTTATTGCAAGGACACAGCGATGTCATGTCAAGCAACAAGCACCTGACCCAAATTTGTTCTCTGAAAGACTGAAGCAGCGTATCTACAGCTAGCAAGACTATGACTTCTCAGGAGATGATATTTTATAATAGCACTTTTTACATTTAATTCTGCCTTCAATAAAGGGATTCACTGGTACTATTTAAGATAGGTCTGTTTATATGTTTGTATATGCGTGCACATAACACAGTTTGGGAAAGGAAATAGCAAATAAATGTATTGTGCAACATAGATTAGAAAAGATTTTGCTTTAACCTGGCATTAACTTAAAGTATATTACAGCTGATCTTTATCTCCCTCTCTCTTTGTAAAGTTGGAGCTATTTAGTATGACTTTGGTACCAGGTAATCTACATCTACAGTATTCCTCTACACTAAATTGCAAACTATTATCCTGTATCAGGGTGATGTGTCAGGTGTCATTCATCAAGAGTGTGAAGGACAGCATGGTCTGACATTTGGAGCAATAATCCTAGTATTGTTGAGGGGAACAGTATGTTTACATTACAGAATGTCAGTTGTTTCATGTTCTTCTTCACTGCTCAGCAGTATTCACTGTTCCTTTGGGTATCTTGACTGGTGTCGGAAACAATTCAGCAAAGCATACAATAATAACAGCTACATCTCTCTCCTGTGGGTGAGGGTGGCAGAGATCTAAACACAGACTCACAGTAAACAAAAGGTAGCTATGGAGAAGATGGGGTTATTTTCTTCACAAGGATGCATGTTGACTGGATAAGAGGTGATGGACACAAGTTGATTGAAGGAAAACTCTGTGTGTAAGACAAAATTATTAATGCTGAGAGCAGTTACGTGTTAGAGTAGACTGCCCAGAGAAGTGACAGAATCTCCCTTGCTCGAAATAGCCAAGACTCAGCTTGACACGACCCTGGATAACTTCTTATAAGACCTTGCTTTCAGCAGCAGTTTGCACCCAATAACATCACTTTTCTATGCTTCCTTCATTAGCATTGCCTATAGCATATAAATTTTGCCCTAAAAGTGAGATTTGTGTTATCTTTTCAAAAGCACCTAAAAGCAGAATTTGATCCCAAGAAAATTATGTTACATATAAGAACAGGTCTGAAAGCTCTTGGCTGCACAACTTCCCTCTCCATACAACAGCTAACAGATGGAGTAGTCATATGGCCTTGAAAGACTCTATTATATACCGCATCTATCATTCCTTTAAACACCTTGGAGTTCCTTCATTGTCACAAGTCATTAATCCTTTTATTGTTGTAGATGGTACTGTGTGAATGAGTTATACTGAAGAAGTAACAAAAAGACAAGTCAAGGCACCATACAAACACATGAAGTACAATGTTAATACCATCTGCCATTTCTTTTTAATATTTTTCAAAATAAATAAATGTGTTCAGTATTCTTGGTGACCATACTGGTATGCAATGCCATTTTTATGGAAGGAGCCACCAGTACCGTGTTCCCATACAAGAAAATCCTGTCAGCACAACTAATGGATGTCAGATGAATAAGCTTAGAAGAGCAAACAAGTGCACTGTCAAAACCATGTCATCAACCTACAGGCCTATTTGTAGTGATATTATACACTCCACTGCCTTTAGTCACAGCCCAGGATAATCAGAATCCATGTTCAGAGCCATCTGATCTTGCAAAAATCGACACAACGTAGCTAATAATCCACCAGAATTCAGAAACTATACTGGATTTAAAAAGGCAGCTTTATTTTTGTGCCTTGCATTTGAGGCAGATTAAATAAATCAAAAAGGCAAGGCTATCAGGTCATTATTTGTATGTTACAGCTGTCCAGTTAGAGTTGACAGACACTCTTTGCATGCCCTGTTGACTGATTAAGAGGCAAAGTAAGTCTCTGACAGTCATAAAAGGCCTCGGGGGTGTGGGGGGGTGTGGGGGTGGGGAAAGATTGTGATGAAAAAATCAAAGGCTGATGGACTAACTCACTAGAAATAGTTGCACTTCTACACAAGCCACAGATACAAAAAAAAAAAAAAAAAAAAAAAACCACACACAGAGAAAGGAAACTGGATGAGCACATTACAGATTGAAGTGGGAATCAGAAGGAAGTGTTTGTTACTGTTCTACATCAGAAAACTGGACTGGATTTTCTGCAAGATGAAGAATAAACAAAGCAGAATGAAAGGTGAGATACTGAAGCATTCAGACTAATAATTAAATTTTTCTGTTCTCTAAGCATTTGACAAGCAGTGTTTATTTTAACTCTACATTGGAAGCTGTGTCTCAGTTTCTGAAGCCAACTGTTGCAGAACAATGAACTGAAAGTATTGCTTTTCTTCCTTGCAAGAATGTTGAATTCTTTCAAGTGAATTCTACAATGCAGAATTCAGTATTGCAGGTTATGTATAATTTTAATACAAATACAATTTCATTTGAGAGAAAATTAATCAGTAGTTTGTGACAAACTGTAGGCTCATAATAAAACTTTCATTTATACCTTTGTCATATTCATTGTTATAATCATACACGGTGTTTGTTTCATATGGTATTCCCTGTTACTAATTCAAGTTTGATCTCTGTAAATCATAAGCAGTATGTCCTTAATTTCCAAAGGTTTCAAGTAGTAACTAACTAAAATGCTTTTCATGTTGAAGTACTAAATAGTAAAAACTACTTGAGGCATCTCAAAAACAATGTTACAAAAGGATTTATTATTCTGACTTTCTTTAGTCAAAGAAAATCTAATTATTCAACATCATCTGATTATTTTTTTTTTTTTAATTTATGCTATGTGTACAAACATAGCTATAAGTGGCACTTTGTTTTATAGGTAAGATCGTTAGCAAGATATGAAAGGTAAAAACTATTATTTTTTCAGTTAAAACTAACCTGAACATCAGGGAGCAAAAGATAATTATATATACTAAATATTAAAAAGTACTCCTGTCAACTCATTTATCTTTTAAACAGCTTCTTGACAAATGTTTGCTGATTGTGTAGAAACCTGTATCTATGGGAAGTACTGCTGGCACTCAGATAAAGGAATTAAAGCAATAAGTACAAACATAGATATTTTAAAGAACAAACTTACAGAATCTGGATTGCTGAAAAAGTACTGTTAATTGTTTTTATAGCAACACCTTTGAAGCTTGTTATTCTTTTGATAGCACATGAACTTAATTATTTTTAGGTAGTACAATTAATAAAAACACAGAAAAATGTAAGTTCTACTTTCGATTCTTCTGATACAAGGTGGCTCAAAGTTGTTACTACCACAGAAGAGAAATTTTCCCGTTTAATAATTTTAGAAACTGATGCATCTCCTTCAAACATCACTGCTCTTCTGATGGCAAATCCTCCTCAAAAGCATTTGTACTTAATATAGTCATGGGAAGTATTTAATTTTAAGACCATGGAACCACTAACTCCATTCTGCATTATACAAGTACTTCAATACTATCTGTAATTTACTAATGTACTGCAAAATAAATTAACTTTCTTTATGCTATCTACACTGAAGTTTATTATGGACCTGTATATACTTTACCTGTGTTAACGATCTGTATATTGCCAAAAGACAAACACTTAGAACTAATTTTAAATCTTTCTTCACTTGTGATACAGGTAACTGCCTTTTGGCTTGGAGTGTCCTCTTGTTCATATATGCAGCTCATGGATGTCCCAACAAATGCCTATGCTATACATCTTCAAAGACTGCAGACTGCAAGAATAGAGGATTTACTGAAATTCCTTCCCATTTACCTCCTGAAATTCAGATACTACAACTGCAGAATAACCGTATTTGGAGAATCAACCAAAATGCATTTACTGGAACACCATTGCTCAAAATCTTAGACTTGTCTAATAATTCTCTCTCAAGTTTGGCATCAGGTGCTTTCCAAAAATTACGGTATCTACAGGTTTTAAACCTAACCAGAAATTTGATTCATTATATAGAAAACAAGACTTTCAGTTTCCTCCCACACCTAAAAGAACTGGACTTGTCCTCCAACAGCATTATACGTTTGCCTGAGACTTTTGGAAATAGCACAGGGAATATAACATTGCTGTCTGTGAAGCATAACAAACTTCAGAAAATGGAAAGAGTTCTGCTGGAGTCTCTTCCAAATCTGAAAGTGGTTCTTTTCAAAGATAATCCCTGGCAATGTAACTGTAATGTCTTTGGCCTGAAACTGTGGTTGGAGAGCTTTTTGTACAGAGGTAAGGAATTCTTCTCATTACATACAGTGCACAAGACACTTAAGCAGCATCTAACGGATCCTTACTATTATGGCTTAACAATTTACCCCACACCATAGATCATCCCCTCAAATAAGCACACTAAAATATATTATGCATAGGTCAGAATATAGGTGCTTTCATAAACACACATGGTAAACTAGAAGCATAGAGGACCTTTATATTAGCACAAAGAGAAAGTATACACACACAGTCACACTGTATGTACAAAAACATTCTGGAAATACGTATGTGTAGTGTGTGTATGCATATATATCCATATCTATCTATCTGTATAAAAAGTATACTTGTGCACATACACTTGCTTTAATTTTACCAATATATTTTTGCTAGAAAACAACCTACTGTTTGAAACTTATTTGCCTGATGCATGAGGGTAAACATCAAAACAGATACTAATACCGATTTAACTTTAGAGAACTCAGGATTCTAATTCCTCTATAAAGTAGCTCTTTAATATTTTAAGAATACCTAAAAAAATATGTTACATCTTGGGTAAATTTACTCTTGTCTAGTATTGCTTCCTAATTCGTTGTTAACCAGAAGAGGTACGAAATCCACTGACAATTTCCTGACAGAAATGTGTAATACCATCACATGGGGAAAAGTAAATTTCATAAATAAAAGTACCCTCATATTTTGGTCACACCTGCTTTTAAATATATTCATCAGTTATGCTGTAGAAAAGAGAATATGATTTAATTCTAAAGGAATTAAGTATTAAAATAAATTAATTTATTTCTCCCAGGAGGTATGTTCAGACTGAGAATTCAGAACAGCAGGACAATGTGTTTTTCTCTCAATCAGGCTTTGATGCTGGCATGCGATCAAACTACTGATTACCTATCTGTATATGGAAGTGACATGGAGCATGCTGCAACACAGTGTATGTGAAGATGGTCCGTTGCCTGTGATTGAACAGATTGCCATTTTCAGGCATCAGAACCCTACAGGTCAACTGGAAAACCATACTGGCTCTGCAGGGACACAGTTAATATAGGAATAGTCCCTGGGTGAGGTAAAGCCACTGCCAGAAGTAACCTTTTAGAAAAGACAAAAGGCTAAACTCATCTCAAGGTTAAAATCTAATACTTTGGATTATTAAAATATTACAGTATCCCAGGGCTTTAATTGCATTACGCTGGAAACATTTCCTACAACAAATTTCAGCAGGGGTTCTGACTTGTCTGTGCAGAAGAATGTAACGATCCAAGATAAACATATCAGATTATCTTAATTATTCTGCCAGCAGCATAAGTATTGTAATATATTTCAAAAAAACAACATTTAGAAATTTAGTGGTGGCTTCCCATCTTTCCGAACATTGCACAGATAAATTAAGCAATATGGGAATTACAAATTCATTTTGGCAACAAGTTTTAAAGGAAGCCCAAATACTATGTTCTCTTCTATGCTTATATTTCACTAAAATTATTTGTGTGAATCACATGAAGAAAAATTAGTCACATTGCACATTACTCTTTCCCATTTCTTATATTGTATACTTACGATAAAATAGTACCGAGGCTCTAAAAATATTTCTTGCAAGTCCTAACAAAACATTGCTAAGGATGGAACATTGTCTGAAGTTGTGTCCAATGTAACTCTAAAAGATTTCAGTATGTTAGGTTGAATCCAGCTCAGGCAATTGACATTTGATGCATACTCATAAACAATTATAGAGAATGCTTCAGTTCAGGTGGGACTCCAGTCTTCTGTTCCAAGCACACATGTTTAGTTACTTAAAACCATAGAAGTATCACAGTTGCAGGATTTTGAATTTTATCTGTATCCACATTCAAACTAACACATTCAGCTGATTTTATTAGTTAATGTTTAAAAATATGCAAATATGGTTTTGGTCTTGTTGACTCCTTGACACACTACATCCCTAAAGCCACAGTGTATTGACTAATTAGAAACCTGAAGGCTACAGTCAGTGTGTGTTCCTCTCCAGGCTGAGGAACAACTGTGTGATTTACCAGGATCGAGGCTTCCTACTTCACTTTCCATTATCCTAAAAACATCCTTTGGGAGAGAGCAGAAGGTGGCTCTAAGCAATCATGAAATTTATCATTTGAGCAAGGTAACAGATTGATTAGTCTTAGCTCCTCTAGATTTCTGTGTATTTTCTTATCATGGGCCTTACTTCAAAAAATTGCTCATGTATACATACAACTTACTGAAGTCTCTCTTTGCTTCATCACAGTTAGCATATGATGTCAGAACAATGACTGTTTCATGGAATATTTCAAGCAAGTAGGAAATCTTTACTAAGTATATTGTTTTCATTTCTCTTTATAAAAAGCAGCAATGGTATGAATTTGCTGTTAACAACTCTTCTTTGTTTTCATCTATGACTTAGTTCTTACTTTTATACTACTGTTTTTTACTTTTACATCCATAAAATCATAGATAACTGAATTCTTTATTAATTGCTTCTTGTAAGTACTCTCTTATATGAGTGTTAATAACCTCACCATTGATCTAACTGGAAAAAGATCTTAGAGTTATAAATTTTCAAAAGTATAAAGTTAAAGCTGATGATAAATTTACTTCAGGCTTCTGTTAACTTTACATTAAAGTAATTCAGAAATCACCAAATCTTAAGACCATAAATCTGTTTTTTTTTCCAGGAGGAATAAGTGATGGCATTGTCTGCTCAGCACCAGGTATTCGGAAAGGAAAGGACCTCCTCAAAGTTCCCTATGAGCTGTTTGGGGCATGCCCTCTAACGTCAGCTCATGTTCATCTGGCTAACATTCACCACCATAGCTTTGAGCACAGAAGTTCTCCAAGGCATGCTCATCACAGTGAACACGGGGAAAGCAGCCGTTCCAACTGTGAACCCAAACCAAAGCCAAGGCCTGTTAGCTTGCGTCATGCAATTGCCACTGTAGTAATAACTGGAGTTGTCTGTGGAATTGTGTGTCTAATGATGTTGGCAGCTGCTGTTTATGGTTGTGCCTATGCTGCAATTACTGCTAAATACCACAGAGAACATTTGGCCCCAGTCAGACAACATGGGACTCCTGATGAAAAAGTGCCATTTGATACTTCCTTGGCATGAGTTACTTCTGTCTTTGGTTTCTTGAAAATAAAGCCCTCATTTCATTTTAAAAGTCTGGAATCTAAATAGGATTGATTTAATAGTAATAACTGCCTTTTTTTTTTTTTTTCCCCACTTTTTTTTTTAAATGTAAGTATATATTATTTGGAATATTTATTAAGATTTTATGTAGAAGAATATAAGTTTATTTATATTTTGTGTATGCATATTCTGAAGCCGCTGAGGGTGTTTGAGTTAATGAAATCTTGATGTAGCCACTTTAAAGTATTCCATTCTTCATTACTAGCTCATGCTGTAATATTAGTACAATATATGAGTTACAGTGCAGCTACAGTCAGTAGCTGACATGAGTGAGCTTTCTGCAAAGAAAAATACAAAATAGCTACAAATGACTGACTATATTTTAAGATCTTAGAATACCTGGTATGTATCCAGAAATATAATTCACAATCAGTTTTAGAACTGGCCAGTCTATACACTGCCACTGATAACTTAAACACGTGTAAAAATATTCCTAAATGTATTTTCCATCTTCTAATCTGCCCTAGAAGACAACAATTTATCATTACATCTCTTATCTAACTTAGAAAATAAGAACTACATTGTTAACTGTCACAAATCATTTTTCTAACTGCTTAGTAGGGAAGAAAGATGAGAAAATGCTGAAGAAAGAAGAAACTCTACACTGTTTCAGATATAAGCACTGAAATGAGAACATACAGCATATATGAAGAGACACTACCTGTTATCCTGCTGGCATATATGCTTGATACAGACATTTCTCAAGATTCTTATTCCCAAATCCTCACACAAGTATTCCATTTTGCAAGTATCATGACTGCAGATGCAGTTCCCATCACAGTGCTGCCCTTCAGTACGGAGGATAATATAGTTGCATGTTTACATGTTCTCACAGAGAGAACATTCAGCTGAATTCAAGGGTCCACCCTAACTTTCTGCACACTTTTGCCATCAGAGGAAATCAGAGCCAAAATCATTTGCGTAATATAAGTTTAGAACATAAAGAATATTTTGAATGTGCAGAAGTATTTTTTAAGTAATTCGTAGAAATTATTTTAAGGCAACCTACAGAGTTCAGCAATTCCCATTTACCTTTTCCAAGACCAGATACAATACATCTAGGCTATTTGTGACAAATGTCTAATTTGTTTTCTAAAACTCTCCTAAATAACTCTCTTGGTAGCTAATGCAGAAATTAACTATGCTTATAGTCTAAGAGCTTTTCTTAGCATCTATCCTAAACCTTTGGTGAAAATCTTGCCATTTTATTCCACTGGGCAAAAGACTTGAAGACAATGGCTGAGTAACAGTCTGCAACGAGGGTAAAAGAAAACTGTGTCATGGTGGTCAGAAACCTCCACTCTCCTTACAACAGACAGATTCCAAATCAAGTTCTGTAGCTATTCTAATAACAGACTCAACTGAGTAATGGACTACATGGCAGGAGTCATGTAACCCTTGCTCTTATCTACTTAGCAATAATTGCAACCTAAATATTAAAGCTCATTCCTGCATCTGTAGTTACTTTCATGTCCAGAGAAAATTAAGTGTCTCATTCTTAATCTAAATCTAGCAGACACTGAAAATGATAAATTACTGTTTGCGGGTTTTTTGGTTGGTTGGCTGGGTGGGGTTTGTTTGTTTGGTTGGTTGTTTTTTTTTTTTTTAACTGATAAGTACTTCACATTATTGTTAGAGTCTCTTCATTCTTTTCTATCCTGAACTAAATAAACCAAGCAGTTTCAAATTTTCCTGTAAGGCCACATTCTCCAAACTTTTTTTCCCTTCATTCCTCAGAATCTTTGCAGTTCTCCTACATTTTGTTTAATATGTGGTACCCTAGATTGGGCACATTAATTCAGATGAAACACAATCAGCACAGGATTTTTCGAATATTTAAATTCCGACTCTTTAAATCTGATCTCTTGACAATGTGTCTCAAAAACAAGCTTTTTTTTTTTTTTTCCTTTTAAATATTTAGTAAAGGTTAATGAATAATCTGTTTTCAGAGCTAAAGACATTTGAGTGTGTAGATCTACATTTTCTACTCTTTTATCCATTTATTGTAATAAAATTTTACACAGTAAAACATAATTTTTCAGGTAGAGAAGACCGAAGCAATACAGGATAGGATCTTACTGTCCATGGGCCAAAAAATGAGGTCCTAAGCCATCCCAAATCAGTGCTTTTCTACTGTGACAACCTAAAATAAGTACACTTGCACTCAAACTGCAGATCCCAAGATGAAAGCTAATAAACCTCTGACCTCCAGAGAGATTTCACCCTCAGTGTTTCTAATAGGCTCAGTTACAGCAATGCAGATTTCATCACAAATAAGTTCACACTTCTGATATCTTCAAGCAAAGAAAATACAAGCACTGACTTAATATTTACTAGTTAGGAATAACCAGAACATCCTCCTAGTCCTTAAAAAACAGTCTATCAATAAAAACCTTTCAGGCTTTCCTTACTGTTTTACAGTATTACTGATATCGAGTTCTGACAAAAAGCAAAGTATTTCATATTTCCATTAGTTCACTCTGCTATGGGAGTAGAGCAAGTCAAGCCATGCAAAATCTGACTTATACTTTCCAACTTGCTGTTTGCTAAAGAAAGAAAGAAAGAAAAAAAAAAAAAACACCAACAAAAATCCTGGATAAATTTTTCATTCGATGTTTAAAAGACTATATATAATATTTACAATTGTGTTTGCAATTAATAAATTCCAGTTATCTATGATGATAAGCTAATAGCAGACATTTAACAAAGTATTGATTCAATTGTTTAAATGAATGTACACAAAATTATTTATTTTTCAGTAGATGAAACAGAATGCTCGACTAATGAAAAACAGATAAAAGGCACAATTTGTTGTCCATAACAATTACTAACTACAAATGAAATATTAGATCTAGGGATTCCCCGCCGAATTGCCCTTAATTTGTAAAGCTTAGCAATGGACATCTGCTGCTGAAATAAGTTGTCTGCACAGATTTATTTTTCAGATAAAGGTTCCTGAGAAACCTTTGTTGTTTTACCAGCAGTCTCGTGAGCAGTATTATAGTGAGCACAGTATTTTTTTCTAATCTCTGTAAAAAGCACTCTTCCCCTCAAAGTCAACAAAATCAGGACACACTACTCTGAAAGGTATTCGCAAAGACAGTGAAAGTACACATATTGCTGTATTCTTGTCTTTCATACAGAGGCTCACCTTATTACATTTTTTTTCAGAAAAAGAGGCTTTGAAAATTTCATTTTAGAACAGACTACAAACAACAATACACTAATGTTCTTTACGGAAAATGTCCTTAGTATCTATACTGAAAGAAGCAACGCTTACACTGAAACATACTTGCTTGCCATATGTGTCTTTCCATTCAGACCTTGCAAACTCAATCAAAATTCAGCTTCATTATTCCCTAGTAATATAGTGTCCAAACAAAATCAGGATCCCTCTTCTTGAATATCAAAGTAGAACATTTAGTGACATTATACATAGCTTATCTATCATTAACAAAAAAATACCAACTGTTGCCTACTAATAACCATCTATCTTTGCTGGCCAGAAGACAAAGACACACAGGCTTTAGTTAAGCATCCAGAAAGTATGCCTACTTTTGTAACATTGATCTTTGAACTTGGCTGAAAATGGCATAATAATCATAAGAGAGTCTTGGTACTTCCTGTGTTTATATTACCTGAAATGTGACTATATGCTCCCCAGATGAGACAGGCAACAACATCAATCATCTGGATGGGGCAGTAAGCCACAACAGGGGAGAGGGAGTTGGAATTAGAAACCCATAATAAACAAACCAACTACTACATACTTCATAACCACCTCCAGTGAAAGCTGTGGTTGCTCTCTCTTACTGATTACAGAGGGATCCCCCAATGTTTTAGGGCTATGTACACTGTACATTGAATTTTTTGGCATAAGGCTGCCTGACAGCTTATCTGCTGCCTTGTTCTGCAATCAGGGATTTTTTCTGCTAGCAGCAGAATCCCAACAATCTGATTACTTTTAGATCACAAGAATCTTCCTCCTACTTGAATTACACTCTACTAAAACCCCACCAACCCAACAAAAAACCCCAACAGCAAAGCAGAGGTGCAGAAGAAAAGAGCAGAATGCTCTATGCAATTTACTACACATGTTAATACTATACATGTTGGGACAGTGTTCTAATTGATCCATCAGAGAGCCAGATTGTCTGAGAACAAGTGGTGAGGAAAGCCCAAGAGTTACCTAAATAGTGGTTACATTCTTAAGCCAACACTACCAGAACTATCTTTAAAAGTTCTGTTATTCAATTATTCCACACAATAATTCTGTATAGTAGAATGAATTGAGAACAGATACAAATGAATACAAACGTGTGAATGGTTGTGAATACGTCATCTAACTTCAGATTGCTTGTTCAGTCAATGGAGAGAGGCAGGATTTTACCACATGCTCTGAAGCATTCTGTGGAGGACCTTACCTCGCTTCATGCATTACCTACAAACCCTATTTCCTAAAGCATGGCTACTAACCTAAGTATGTGAGCTAATGTTAGACTGTACAAATACACATTTCAATTTCCCTGAAACTGAAAACATTAGTCTATATACTAATATTAGATTTATGTATACAAAGATAATATTCAAAATGAACAAGAAACTCTGGAAAAACATAAAGTAGTGGTTTTTCACCAAAGCATGAAAAGCAGTTTAAGGGATTTACTAAACGCTACTGCTGAATATAATCTTCTGTGGCTTATAATGCAGAGTAAAGATTAAGTAAATCACTGTCTTGCCTGACAAGGAAAACATCTATTTTCGAACGCTTCAAAATTTTGGTTGGTGTGTCATCATGATGACATATTCCTTTTCCCTTAGGCCTTCATACTAAAATGCAATTTTATAGATGGTATCATAAATTTTAAGAACTGTGTATGACAGTGACATTTGCTTGAATGTTTTTAATAATATAGTAATATGAAAGCAATACATGTGAGAAAAAAAGGAAAAAAAAAAGTATAAGCAGTACAAAGCAGATGTATTTACTCTATGCACTATTGTAGCAATAGCAGATTTAACTATTTGTGAAACATTTACAATATCTGCCACTCCTAGAAATATCAGTAGTTTAAACTACTTTTGATTAAATTACTTGGAGTCACTATTTCAAAGCATGTTCTGGGATCTTGATCATAGGGAAATGTGCATGTAAACTCCATTTGAATTCACTCAGAAAAAAAAACCCTCCTGAATGGACAGTTGAGGTCATGTATATACAATTATTAACACACCTAAAAAAATAAGGAAAAGTTACTGGAAAACTACTATATTCACAAATTTTCCTTTCAGATTGCTGTTCTGTAGAGGCTGAATCAAACAGGAAGATTAAAAAACCTAAGTGTGACCGACCACAATAAGACAGATTTGTATTTTAAAAGTAATATGAGCTATTTCCTGTTTTCAAGGCACAGTTTGAAATATCTTAAACAGCAGGATCATTAGGGTCACTTTCCTCTGGCCAGAATAGAGGCATTCAAAATTGCATGCCATTTTTAACAAATTAGTGATGAAATGAAAACTTTACCATATCTTCTTTAGCTTATGGTTGGGGGGAAAAAAGGGAGAACCTAAATCTTCAAATTGTGTCATTCAAGATACCTGAGGGCTTTTAGCATCTTGACTAGGAATATTTAACATGGAATAACTGATTTTATTGTTATACTAATGTTTGTTCTTAAAATGATATGAAAAGGAGAGCAATGAAGGTGATGAATGAGGACACTTGTAAAAAATCTCTCTCTAACCAGGGTTTGGAGAAAAAAAAATCCATGAACTTGTATATGAGCTGGTTGTAAAAATAAAGGATCATATTTGGAAAGTTAAATACTGGAAAGGGAAAAGATTCTGGCTTTACTTGGGACAATTTGTTTGGCAGTATAAAGCATAATATTCCTTGTTTACATAATAAGGATTTCTGGTAAAAGCATTTTAAAAAATCAAACTGTCAGTGAATAGAAGAGGGTTAGGCTGTCCTTTCTTCAGAATCAGTAACATCTACATCTGACTGCAAAAGCCTGCTTATTATATTTAAAATATATATTTTAGTTAATATTGAAATATAAATAATATATACATAAAATAACACTTAAGCACGATCTTCAGTTTTAACATAAATCAATAGTAGGTGTTTCTTTTATTCTGACAACTATGTGGACGCGTTTCTTTCCAAGAAATCTCTTACGTGCTAAATTATTTCTGCTAGTCTCATAGCATTACTCTATTGCATAGAACAAGGAGTAAACTAACACTTATTGTGCCCTTGTGTTATGGCACCATCTACTATGGAATTAAATACACCTACCAGATTTAAGGACAGATTCCCTGGAACCTTCTGTGTCACATACCTATGTAAAGACAAGACACTATATAAAGATATGAATCATGGGTGGTAGAAAGTATCCACCATTTTCTTTTCCACTTTTACTGCTTGGCAGCAGAAATAATGGATGTGAGAAAAAATTGGCCATCCTTATTCATTCTGAAATTAACAGTAAATCTGTTCTCTTGAACGGACTACTTACAGAGTATAACTATTATTCAGAGTGCTCATGAATGGCAGAATTTGACCCTTATGAGCCTAGTAATCTCAGAAGAGCTGTAGACTTTTTGGTAACTTTTGCCACAGAAGATTCTGATAGTGGCTGATCTTCAGGCCACCCGTATGAAGAATGCTTATGTGCTGAGTTTGCCTAGGATAGAGTTCATTTTGACAAGAAGCTGGGAGGGTGCACAGCCAGGACTGCCAACCCAAGCTAGCTAAGGGGATATTCGATAGCATGTAACA